AAAAAAAAAGATTCCGCCTCGGAATTCAAGCTTGTGTAGTTGATATTAGTGCCAGAGTGGAAATCATTATAAACAATAAAACTGATTATTTCGCAATCTGAAGTATTTGATTTCAAATTTGAAAAACAATTCAAGGTCACCTTACACGTCTAATTTCACAGTGGATTGGGTTTTTAGCTTGTTTACCCCTCTTCCGGGACTTAACTGATATGATTTCAGTCCCTGCATTCGGCCGCCTTCCCTCAAAACCGACGCTGTTTTGTAAGAAACGACCAGAAGAAAGAAAGCCGTTGAATACTCGGTACTATCTTTTGCTCTGCCTTCAGTGCTTTGTGTAAAACCGGTGCCTCGGCGGGAAGATTATTCTTAAGCCGCCAGCGAGGAACGAATCGCGAAACTGAACCGTTGCAGGAAACTAAAATAAAAAATCTTCCAAAAAGTTGAGGTCAAAAAGAACCCAGGTTGCAAGGTATTCGAAACGAATCTGAAAAGGGGACCGGAATAGGCTTTTGTACATTATGCCAGCATTTTTTCGAGAATTTTAGTGAGGCAAAAGAATTGAGCATTATTCGAGCATTTTAGTGGCATTCTCCCCGGAAAATTAATTTTTCCGAGAAAATAAGATACAAATTAACTTTTTTCAGGAGCCCATGCCCCACGAGCTCCTGCGTTTTTCAAGAAAATGAAGACTAAAACTCAAAATTCACAAAAAACCTAATACAGCTGTTTTTTTGCTGTATTTATGAACTTGTACACGTTGTCGTTGTTACTTGCAACACTTGCACGTTTTTGTGAGTGTAAACTTTGAAATTAATTTTAAAAAACCGTTTATATAATGAGCATTATCCGAGCATTTTAGTGACTTTTTTAGGGAGACCGAGTATTTTAGTGGGGAAAATGGAGCATTAAGGTGGAGCATTTTAGTGGGGAAGCAAAAGCAAAATGTACAAAAGCGTAGACCGGAATCGAACAGTCGGGCGCCCGAGAAATTAGTCTTCCCCAACCTTGGCTTTTTTCGCTCTCTCTCTTAGGTATTCCTGGCTCAGTACTCATTACAAAAACTTTTTACGTCTGTGATAGACAAAGAAAAACTGAGAAAAATTCTCATTTACGACATCCCGTAGCAAGCCAAATTTCGCACTATTTTCATAATTTTGTGGCAATGTGGTTGAGCACTAGCTGTTAAACGAAGAAAAAAAGATATTTACTATATCTTTAGTTTTACCTTATAACAACAGCAAAAGATGAAAGATGTTGGGCTAAAAAAATTAAGACAATATTCTTCTGCTTGTACTCGAAAATTTTTCTAAACCATCCACTACATTATCACTCAGTTTTGCAATAATACACAGCTGAATACAGTTCACATCTTTTCAAAAAAATTTTAACTTTAAAATGCATAACAAAAATGTCGTCAGGCTAATTATGTGTATTTCAGATTTCTACGTTAAACTTTAACATGTGATGCGTTCTAAGTAGTATTAAGTTCGATTTATTTTTTTCTTTCACTTTGGCACTTTAGTCGTTATTTCTCCTTTCCTCACCTTCTTTATTTCGCCTTTATACTATGGGTCAAGTTTAGCAAAACAAAAACGAACCAATAAAATAAACTTAACTTCTTAATATCGTTCATTTTAATTCCTTGCTGTAGGCATAAGTACAATCACATTAACGGATCTACTTGAAAATAAACTTTAACTTTGTACATTTTGTGTAGGTAATAGAATGATTTGTAGTAATATTTGGCATAAATACCACGAGTGATATTTCGAAACTGTTATACGTAATTTCACGAGCCGTTAGGCGAGTGAAATTTGAAACAATTTTGACATGTCACAAGTGGTATTTATGCCAAATATCAAGTACAAATCATGCTATTATTTGTTTATACTACTACCCATGCACAAAAGGTTTGTAATTTTCACATGTCGGTATTTCAAATTACGCTAAAATACCACTGCTCTAAGCCAATCAAATAGCAGAAATTTCTCATGTAGTAGTATAATGCAAAAATATTTGTTAAATTCATTTTAAATGCTTTTACTGGAAGCCACTAATTGACCCTCTGAGACCTTACATCAGTGTAATAAAATGTTCTCCATTAATTTCACAAAGAACTTATCACGAGAATTTAATTCCAAATCAAGCTATTTTACCCTGGTTAATAGGTTCCTTTTTTCCTTATAACGATGATGGTTACATGTCAAATAAAGATTTTAAAACAGTTGAACCTCCCACTAGCGGCCACCCAAAAGGTGAAGATTTAGTGGTCACTTATGAGAGCCGAACCACAGGGGGTCTTTTCAGAGTAGAGGTCCAGACATTTCTTGTTTTTGGAAGAGAATTTATTGCATGAAAATTATCTGAGAAAATGCTTTTTAACACAAGAAAAAGAAACCCGGTTTAAATTTAACCCTGGGTTAAGCGCTAATCGGCCTTCGAACAACTCGGCCCTGTTAGAAGGAGAATCAAACGCTAATAACCACATATACGTCACACGTCAAAATCAAATTTTTAAACCAAGGTTGATTCTCAAATCTTCCTTTGTCTCCTGGCCCTGATTCATGAATAATCAAGACTAGGAGACAGGAAATTGAGAATCAACCTATGGTAAAAAAAAATTAACCTTAATATAATTTTCACCTATAACATACAATGTCAAGCTATCTTGACCAACCAAGCTTGGACAATAAAGGATTTGTTATGCTTTTGCACTATATATGTAGCCTGTGGAAGAGGCATTATTTTTTGCATTTTTCAGGCACTTTAAGGCATGTGCAGGGAGGGTATGTCTAATACTTTATGTCTGCCTCGCCCTTGCTATAATTCACTTAACCCTTTAAGCTCCAAGATCAACACGCGTACTCTCCTCACTGTTTCCTATACATTCCTTATGGTACTGCTGGAGAGAATTTGTTCAAACATCAAGACATTCAACCTTGGTGATCATTTTATTCATTCTAATGACCTGCATTTTTGATCAGGCAATGTTATTATTAGGAGAAATTGGATGCTGGTTGCAAAAAAGCTAAGCTTATTCTACAGGCTAGCTAGAGCAAAGTAGACAATAGATGGGCCCTCATCTTCTCCACCTGTGACAGTCATATTATATAACAGCTATAATGGTTAAACCTGACCTAAGGTTCCCAATCATCACTTTCTCCTGAATGCATGGTCTCTGAACGATCAGTCTTGGGTGGGGCAGGAATCATTGCCGACACCTTGTCCATAGCTGATCCTCCACCTGATGCCGCCTCTGATGAGCCTCCTGAGTCACCTTTAGATCCTGAAATTCCTTTACGACGCATGGATAGCTTTGCGAAAAGGTCACCCATAAGGTCACCACCACCTCTACCACTCACTGTAGACTGCTCCTTCTCGGCTTTTTTCTTCAACTTCCTTTCCTTGACACTGCGTAATTTAGCATTCCCCTTGCCACCAGCTTTACGGATGGATTCCATGAGGTTTGCCCTGCCATCTGATGCCATTGCTGCAGGGACATCCGACGGGATGGCTGCAAATTTAAATGAGTAATCAATTTAAACTTTCTCACTGACAAAACTAAGGTGCAATTACCTCTCTAATAACACATGCTGAGATCTATATGTTACAACTAAATCAGTGGTAATCAGGTGTCAGTAATATGCATTCAAGAGTAGAATTGAGGTGGCAGATAAATGTCACAAAGAGGAGAACTTTGTAGTATTCAGTGAACTATGAACAAATGGAGCAGAGATGGGTTTAATGGTAAGAGTGGAATTCTAATATAACAAAACTGAAGTACATGTAACAACGTTCTGCTTTTTACAGCTACATATATTTTTTAAACACTACGGTGGAATAACAATTTTTTGAACCTCTAAGGAAAATGAAAATAGGTTCGAAAAAATGATGATGGGATCAAAACACAATGGTATTAGAGGTAAAATATGGTACAAAGTTGCTCTTACCAGCACATTCCAATATTTACTTTTACACCCCCCGCCCTCCTCCAAAAAAATAAAAACAAAACAGCTTTTTGAAATCTAAACAAACTCTTACAAGTGCACAAAGTGGCTGGCAATCCAGTCAGGAACTGCAACTTACCTGGAGGTGGTCCATCAGCTGGTGGGGGAGGAGGTGGGGGAGGAGGAGGAGGAGGGGCAGCATCAGGTCCTGGGGGAGGAGGTGGGGGTGGTGGAGGGGGTGGGGGTGGAGCACCTGATCCTGGAGGTGGAGGAGGGGGTGGAGGAGCAGAATCAGGTGCTGGTGGGGGTGGTACTGGTGCTGTGTCACCCTTTGCTTCTTCTAAAACATCAGGTAAGTCAGGTATGCTGGAACTAGGAAGTGA